TAAAGCGTAAACTTAATATTATATTTTATTCTTAGATTAATAATTAGATTAAGAAATAAAATTAGATATTAAAATATTATTTATAAATATATTATAATTATAAATAAAATAATTAGTTCGAGATTTTATTAATAGTAATATTTATATATAATAATAATATATATATAAGTATTAATAGAATTTTATAAGAGCTATTAATAAGATATATAGTAGATTTAAAAAATACTTCTAAAAATAGAATCTTAAGAAAAGAAGTATCGCTTATTATAGAGCGAGTAAATTAATTATAAAAGATAAGATTATATTTAAAAGAATTATAAAAACGAGTATTAAAGTAGTAAGTAAAGTATTATAATAGTAATTATAAGACTATAATCTTTAAGAAAAAAAAAATACTATTATAAAGCTTAAATATATATATCTTATAATTAAAGAAGAAATTAAATTATAGATAGCTTAGGCTTTTTAAAGTATTAAAGAAAATAAATATATAGATTTATAAGCTAGATCTTTTAACTAGATATAAAAGAATCTATTCTATATTTTATATATTATTATTAGAGTTATAATACTTATATAAAAATAATCTAAAATTATAAATAATCTTAATTAATAAAAAAGAAGAATAAAATATTAATAAAATATTAAATAAAAGAGTTTATAAGAATAAGATTAAATATCTTATTAATTAAAAAGACTTTCTATCTTATAAAGCTTTATAAGAATTAATAGAGTATCTTAAAAATATTAAAAATATAATTAAAGACTTTAAGCGAGTAAAGAAGTTATATAAATTAATATTTAAGATAAAGTTAAAGATATAATCATTAAGAGAAATTAAAAAGTAAGAAAAATTAAGAAAATAATAGTAGTAGAAAGTCTAGATAGATAAATAAAATTATAACTAAAAGACTTAGCGAATATAATTAAAAAGCTTATAGATCGATTCTAAAGCGTTAAGACGCTATATATAATAAAAAAAGTAATTATTAGAATTATATATATAACTATTACTATCTAATATTAATCTATCTATTCTTTTATATTAAAAAATAACTTCTTATTTAGAAGACTTATTAGATGATAAAAAGATTTAGTATAAAAAGTAATGAAAGAAGTAATAAAAAGAGCGGTAAAGATAATAATATTATATCGAAGTTTCTCGATATAGCGAGTCGCTATATATATTAACTATATAATCTAATATATATTAATTAAGATTTATATCGCTTTATACTCGAAGAATAATATGAATATTCTCGCTAATATGAGTTATAGTAAGAATATTACTCTAATAGTAAGAGACTAGATCTATGATATATATATAATTCTTATAAAAGTATTATCTATATTTACGCTAACGCGAGCTAATAGAAAATGCGATATAAATCGTATAAGAATTATATGCGAGAGTATATATATAATAATAATAATAATAAAAGAGGATTAATATATATTAGCGTAATCTCTTAGTTATCTAATATCTTTTTTATTTATAAATAAGAGTAAAAATAGTAATAAGAGAAGCTATTAAGCTCTCTTAGTTAAGTATATCTTTAAAATAGAGATAAATATTTATTAGCTATAGCGAAGGGCGTAGAAATAATAACGATTATAAGTACTTAATAATTCGTAGAGTTATAAAAGCGAAGATTTAATATTACTATTAATATATTAATATACTTCTTATACTATTTATAAAGTATCGTAAAATATTCTTTAAGATATTTATTATATATAAAATTAATCTAAGTAATTATAATCTTATTTAACTATTATCTTAATTAATATATATATTATACTATTACGATAATACGTAGCTCGCTATCGCAATACTACGATAGAAATAGATAAAGATAAGATAATAGATATAAAGAAGAATTAGATACTTACTTATAATAGCGTTAATATTAATATTATTACTAAAAAGAATAAAAGTTAAATTAAAAGTAAGACTTTTAGATTTACTAGCGCGATATTTATAATTATAATAATAGAATTATTATAATTATTAAAGTAATAATAATTATAATAGCGTATAATAATAGCGATAATAGTATATCGTAATAGAGTAATAATATACTTATATTTTATTAATTAAGATAATAATACGTAAAGCGATACTATTACGATTTAGTATATAAATATATTAATATACTTAAGAAGACCTTAGAGTAAGTAATTTAAATACGCTATTATAGTATACGTTAGTTTAGACTATATTTAAGCTAGTAATAGATAATATATATAAAGCTAATAAGTTTATAGCATTTAATTATAAGATATAATAATAATAAAATTTAAAGACTATATTTTCTAAGGGGAGATATAATTATAATAATAAAAGTACTCGAAGCGAATTAATAGACTCGCTTATATCGCTTATTAGATTATAAGCTATATAGCTAAGACGAGTATCTAATATACTTAGCGAAGTCTTAAATATTTATAAATCCCCTTTTCTCTTCTTCTTTCTTTAGTTATTAATTTATCTAGTAATTAATCTATCTATTCTATTAACTATATATCTAAACCTCGTAATTATATAGCTATTACGTAGTTTTATTAAAAGAGGCCTTATTATCTTATAATATACCTCTTAGTTAGTTAATTAAATACCCTATATAATACGTATATTTTTATTTCTACGAGTTTTAATAAAAGATTATAAAAGTATTTTATTTAGAGCTAGTATCTTCTTAGTAATACGATTTATATAAATATTAACTATTTTATTATATTATATAAAACGCTAGAAACGAAGAATAGAAATAATCGTCGATTTAATAAGAAGCTATTAAGTATTCGAATTAATATTAAATATATTTTTAATATATTTAAGAGACGCTAGCTTAATCTTATCGAACTAAGATTTATTTTTAATAATAATATATAATATAAATATGCGATACGTTAGATCGACTACTATTATATATTTTATAATCTTTTATTATAATATGATAATTAGTAAAAGAAAGATAAAGGCTAATAGACTTCGGAGTAAGAGGAGGAGTATAATAATAAGTTAATGAAATTTATAAATTAGTAAGAGTGTAAAGATATTTAGAAAAGAGATTATATAAAGAGTATTATTTTAAAAAGAAAGCTTTAATTAGTTATATTTATTATAATTTTCTTTAGATTTATTTTATATATAAATTTCGATAAATAGCGATAACGATCTACTTATAATAGCTTAAAATAAATTTTAAATAATTAATCTTTATATTAAAGAGATTCTTTGATAAGAAGAATTAATATTTTTAATATTATATAATTCGCTTTAAATTCTAACTTCTTATATAAATTTTCTTTTTCGAATAAAGAAGATAAAGAGAGCGAAGAAGATAAAAGAAATTTATTAGTTACTTAATACTTAAACTAAGTATTCTCGAATAATTTATATATATAAAAAATTAATAACTAGCGATAACGATTTATTTAAAATAAGTATAAATAGACTTTAAATAGTTAATTCTTATATTAAAGAGATCTATTAATAAGAAGAAATAGTACTCTTAATCTTATATAATCTATCTTAAATTCTAATTTTTTATATAAATTTTTATCTCTAAATAGAGAGAGTAAAGATGGCGAAGAACTCTTAAATTAAAGAAAAAATATAATATCTATATATCTAATCGTCTTACTTTTAATCTTACTTCTAATTCTTCTAAATCTCTAATTATAGATATAAAAGAATCTCTTATTATAGATTTAATCTCTCTTAATTTTACTATAAAAGAATTATATATTATTAATTCCTCTACTTCTAATTCGCCTTAAATTATATCTTCTAAATCTTCGTCTATATTTTTATATTCTAATATCTTATTATATCTCTTATCTATTTTATCTTAATTATCGTATTAATAATATTACGCTATTAAATCTTAATCTTCTTTATTAATTATTCTTTATCGCTTAATAAAAGTATTTTTATAATCGCTTTCGTAGACTTTTTCCGCTTTTTTTTTATCTTTATAGCGAGGATTTTAAAATAAGAGGTTATTAATATATACGTAATAAGATTATTCGCTATAAATATATTAGAAATAATCTTTAGCTAAATTAATTAAATATTCTTCGATTATTATATATTCTTTAATTAATTAAATTCTTTTAATACTTTTTTAAAGTCTAAATTTAAAAGATTATTATTTAGAGGAATCTTTTAAATATCTTTAGTCGATAATTTATTTTACTTAATTAACGTATTATCTTTATTATTATTTATTATAGTATTCTTCTCTTTATTAATAGACTTTAAATTCGTATAATTAAGCTATCTAGATTCGCTTAAAAAGAGCGTTATAATGTTAAGATTAATATTAAAGAGAGCTTCGAAGTAGTAGTATTATACGTAGTGCTTAAAAAGAACTAATTTAATAGTATTAGTTCTAGAGTCGTTTATTAGATTATTATATTTATTTAAATCTACTCTCTAGTCTATTAATTTTATCTTATTTCTTTATCTTATATAAATAGCGTATATAATATATAGCTTATTAAATATCGTAGTTATAGTTATTTTAGACTTTATAATTAATATAGTAATTTCGCGAAGAAGAGTATAAGTAGTCTTAATATAATATCTTTTATAATATTTAATATTAAAAAATAATTTATTAATATCGCGAATTAATAGTTAATTAATAAGTATATCTATCTTATTTAAATACTATTTAATATAATTAATAATCTAAATAATCTAAGTAGTCTAAGAGACGATAGTTTAAAGATTTTAAGTAGTTTAATCTATAGTTAATAAGCGGAATAGTAATAATAGCGTATAAAATAGATAAAATATCTAAATATTTTTAAAAGACTTTCTAAATTATAGAATCTATTAGCGTAATTTAGTGTATATATATCTCTTAGTATATCTAGATATTCTCGAGAGCTTATATTAGTAATTTAGTATAGATAGTAAATTAATTATCTAACGACTCTAAAATATATAGAGTTTATCGCTAAATTAGAGCCTTAAGATAGCTAATTTAGTATATATAGAATATAGATTCCTTAGTCTGAAACCCCTTAATAATGGGGGTTAAAAGCTTAATGTATAGATCGTACGCGGGAGGCTGCATTAGTGTGGACGGGGGACTGTCGGAGGGGGACTGTCCGAAGATAAGTTGTGTATGAAGAATAGCATAATGTAAAATTGTCATGCCTTCCGGTAGATCGACGTCAAGGCATGCTCCGGCATTCATTAGCATCTCGAAAGCCAAGACGTTAGAGTGTTCGATAGCAAAATGTAAGGCCGTCTTTCCCACGTCGTCCTTGACCTCAGTGTCCACAGGGACATCCAGAAGCAGCCGTAGTTTCGGGATACGGTGATTGTGCAACCACCACTGCTGCAACCTGGGAATCATCGAACAGTACATAAGGGCGGTTTTGCCTTCGCCATCCTGGCAATTGAAGTCATATGCGTATTCAAGAAGGAGTGCGTCAATGGCTAGCGCCTCTTCCTCTTTTGCATGCCTATAGAGACCACCCGAAATTTGCCAAACATATCCTCTCACACAATCGGTTGTGGCGCCATATTCAAGAAGGAGTCTGATGCATTGATATTCTTCACTCATTGCAGCTGCAACTAATGGCCTTTCGTTGCCAATATTTGGGTTAGATCCATGTTCAAGGAGAGTCCGGACGTAGTCTGCCCTACCGAAGCTGCTTGCAAAATGAAGTGGGCTCAGACCACTTGTGTCCGTCATATCAAGTAGTTCGGGATGAAGCTGAGCCTCAGCATCTAGGTCTCTAATACTGAACCCACAAACGATTTTGTGTAGCTCAGAAAAGCCCATTTCTTCGCACACTTCATCCCAATCTACCACCGTAAGAAATTTGAGATGAGACTTAAATTCGTCAAATCTACTTCCAGCGGCACAACACTGAAAGTAAAAAGCAGTTGGGCTTACGGTCCTATTACCATTGATTTAGCCAGAGTCTCAACGGAAAGCGAGCTTGGACTAACACTTCGTGGTTAATCACAACCCCAATCTCTATAAGATAAGCTGCAATTTCCATTCGACTTGTGGATAAACCATAGTTCAATGTCCTCTATCACCATTACAGTTAGCAGATGCTCTCGTTCTAACAATGATCAAAGGTTAGACTTTTACCACCAGGAATGAACCGCCACCCTCATCAATATCGTACGGCGATCCATGTCCCTGGGCCACAAGTCTTTTGAACTGAATGAGATCGCCTTTGCTGACTGACTCAATGATCGGGTTCGAGTTGGGCAGTACTCGTGGTACCCTAAGAAGAAGCTCCGGACCATGAAGAGGCGAAGAATTAAACCACATGGAAATCATTCGACACGCAATCCAGGTTGGTAAGTGACAATCTATCTTGATACATAGCGCAGCGCGACACTTGCACGAACCAAAATCGCAGGAAGATCTGAGATATGGAAGTTGGAGACCTCGAACCGCAAGCGACCAGATACCAGGTATAGCAGCTTTTCGAAAACGGTGACAAGAGCAACCGCAAAATCCCCGACATGTATTGATGCGTTGTGATGTATGCAGTCGAAGGTCACTAGGGGATGCTATCCTTGGTACTCTATCAATGGGTCTATGTAAATCCGAGGTATCCCTAGGAGACGTTGCGACTAATGTGTTACTTGTACAAATGCTGGCCTCATGGAAGTCTCCTAACATCCTAGTGGGCGGATCCGACGTCTTTGGAGCCTCTTCAAGCTTTTGGCACAGTATGGCGAACATGGCCTCGTGTCGTGCTGAAATTTGGCCGATTAGATGGTCGGTTTGCCGCTGGCGCGAGGATATTTCTTCTGTGATGCTAGAAACTTGCTGTGTTGTCATACTACCGCAAGAACGAGATGTCAAAACATGCCTCAAATAGTAACGCTTTATCAGGGGCCTAGTATAGAACGGCGCTTTACAAATCATAGCCTTTTTGAGCTCGCTAAAACCGCAGGACCAGCACAAGAGGAAAAGAGACTCACAAATTTGTAGTGCTGATCAACATAATCAGGTCTTGTCGAATGGCATGCAATTTTCGTTGGAGAGTGTCAACGTCGCTCTCCTTCCTTAACCACTGCCAGCGATCGACCTTGTTGCTTTCGCCCACCTTTGTCAGAGTATACTGAATGAGACTGTCAAGTTCGAGCAGCTTCGACCTAGCCTCATCTAAAACCTCTCTGAGCTGTGGCAACGGCTGTTGGGATTCCATCGAAACATTCATAATAGCCTGAAGGACCTTTTCAAGACGAGAGACCTCTCCAAGGAGGTCACTGAGACCTTGGGGTGCGCCTCTGACAGCCTTCAACAGGTCCAAAGCCTTAGTAACTTTCTTTGCAGCACCAACCACAGCTATCACGCTGGCTGCGGCCGATAGTGGATCCATACTTTGAGATCAGTTCCGCCAAATCACTTTGATGTTCAAGCTTGTGATTGTGGGATTTGCCTTTCGTAGGTGCAAGGGAGGAGAGATTGCGGTCGTGCGCCTCAGCAGTGTGTGTGAAGAAGTATGGAGAATGGAAGACAACTTTGATTGTAACAAACAAAGGCCCTTTGTGAGTTCATAGTGAAGGAAAATGCTGGGCGTAGAGCCTGTCAGCCTGTCAGCCTCGAAAGATAGGCTAGCTATGCAACTTGAAGTGGTGCGCCTTCGGCTCGACCAATGGATGAATTGGTAGCAATCAGCCAATCAAGCCCAGCGACCTTTGACATGAGATCTCCTACATTGCCGAACATGTCGTAGCGTCGTCACAATGTATATACGAACTTTCGATCATCGGTTCAAGCTACCTCGGTAGCCGATTTTTTGGATAGAGCCATTAGATACTACTTAGAGGTACAGCCTTTCTATTGCGGTACCGGAGATGTAATCTACGGTAGCGGAAGAACGTAGAAATAATGGGGCTAGGCTACGAGCTACCTGTATGGTTGACTACCCACGTACTGTGAAGAACAATCGAAAGAAAGCTTGAAGGTGCTCGTGCTCCGATTTACATAGGCATAATCCCCGAGGAAAATCTCCGTTGCTTCCATCCGATTCCAGACAAGAGATTAATAGCGGTTACGAGAATATCCAGTCTGGCTCCTCGAACGATAAGGGCAAGAAAGATCAATGCGAGGACACAGAATTGAAAGTAAACAGCCCAGAACTGGGAGAAGGCAACACAGCAGAACGAGGACCATTGCGAAACCTGGAATCCGCGCCCAACCCGGGGCGCTCTTCTGAGGCTGCCGCTGTTAGAGTGCTCTCGCACCCCACGTTGTCGCACTCCATCCCGGGTAATGCGTGCTCCTTCGCTTACCCTTCCAGCTCAGTACTCTCTTCAGTTAGATGACCCAGCCGATGCCTGCACGCGGGTCATACTAGGAAAGTGTTGGAAAATTAGGTAGGCACCTTGCTTGATCTTTATTCAGATTGCAGAAGAAGATTCGAGAATCTCCCCGTAGATTCGCCAGATCTGTATGGCACTGTTTTGCACTGTTACTCCCTAAGGGAGTCCGGATTGACATATCACACGGCTTTGGGTACGGCGATGCGAAATGTAGTCATTCATACTATACCACACTCGCGGTCACTTTTATTGTCCATCAGTAGATGCATCCCAGTCCATGTTAATATGACTCCTTCAGAGTAGACTTATGAGATCCTCATCCACGAGCAATAGGGCAGGTCTGTTGGAATTCAGCAACTCAGCCCTATAAATATCAGTCCTCCTCCATAGAAAAACAATAAGCCGTCATCAACTTCATCAAGGTCTCTGTGATACGGTACGACGCACCTCTCTCACTAGTCCTACGCGTGTTTGGCAACTCGAAAGACCCCTATTGACGATCGTGACGTCGCCATTTACGCTGGGGGCGGGATACGGCCACAGACGACCATGAGCATCCCAAATTTAGGGACGGATCGCTTAGATCCCCTACTACTATGTTCTACCAGCTGCTCATTGTGGACACAATAACGAAGATGTCTATTGCAAGGTTTGATATGAGAAAGGTGATACAGGAAATCTTAGGCTGATGGGCGGGCAAATTACAAATTCATACCGCAAACTATGGGATTCTTACAAATTCATACCCCTCACCAAAAAAATGGGGTATGAATCTGTAAGTTGCCAGTCTTTGGGGTATGAATTTGTAAGTTACCATTTCTTAGGGTATAAAAATGTAAGATACCATCAACTTGTAGATATAGTTATCCCTATATTTATGAATCGTAAGAAGGGTATTTAGGGTGTTCCAGGCTACCTACCCCAATTGTTAGTAACCCGAGTTACCGCTAAAGGATAAGATAGGGGTGTTTGCACTTCACGCTACAAACACCCCTAAGAGGCCCCGCAGGGCCCCCGAAGGAATAATTCCTAACACCAACCCGCCCTATAGATGGCAACTTACAAAATCATACCCCTCTTAATGGTATCTTACAAATTCATACCCCATTGGGGTATGAAAATGTAAGATGGGGTATGAATTTGTAATTCGCCCGCTGATGGGCTCCATCGTAGGCGTCAAGGAGGAATGTAATGAAGGATTGCAATCACAAAATCAGATCGTAGCTCACCTCTGTTGTGAGACGTAATTAGCCCGAATCACCCAGGCTCAAGTCATGTTCTACTCATCATGGCAGGATTGCAATTTGTACGTATCACAAGTCTATCATTGTCTGAGCTGAGATATGTCGGTAGCCTAGAAGTTGGAAGCCTTCAAGGTCATACTGCCAAACCTCACAGTTAACACGTGGCTCTCGAAGGCTTTTCAACCCACTTTTCCGAATGTGACGAGCTCTGTCCAATCTCTACCCCGAGGAGTTGTTCAGACTACTCCGCGCGCGCTGCTCTCCCTCCGCCTCCGCCTGGCGAATGATACGGTTAATCTCCTGCCAACCAAGCCTCTGAACGCAATCTTGGCAGAACATCATCGGCCCAAACGCTGATTGTCGCAAGTCGTCCAAATGACCCAGGGTGAACGGCCGAGGTTGGCGACATACGACGCACTTCCTTGCATCCCGCTCAGGCTCCACCACCACCTGCATGATCCCGTTCATCGTCCCCTCCATCATCTTGATGATCTGCTGCTGCGTGGGAGGATCGTCCAGGCCCACCGCACGTCTCACCCTCTCGCGGACGGTGATCCCGCGTGCCGCAGAATCGGCGAAGGGATTGTTGACCCCCCAGATAGCGACCGTCTTCTCGACGACGCCGCCGGCTTCGATGACCCGAAAGGCGTCATTGACGGCGGCTCCGAGGGCTGCGTTGGGCACGGAGGGTTTCATCCAGATGAGTTTGTGGCGGGATCTGGCTCCCGCGGGCCAGGTGCAGCGGAAGAAGAGGGGGACTAAGGCGTCAGAGTTACTCCCGGCTGTGATGGTGCGAACGCCTAGGTCGTCGGATTGACCGTTCTCGGTGGTGTCATGGGTGAAGGTACGGAGTTCGTCAATGAGTTCTTTGAGAGGGCCGAATAGATGGTTTGGGGAGACCCCTGGGGGAAGTTGGATGCTTGAAGCTGATGCCATGGTGTTTTCCTTACTAGATGGTCTTAGGATGATGTATGATTAGGTATGATTTGGCAGTCCTTCAGCAGGGGTGAGACATCTTATATGAGATGAGGGGGAACTATGGAGGCCAATGGAAGCCGGCGAGAGCAAACAGAAAAAGAGACTGTGGCATTTACTCTGGTAGTAGCAAACAGTAGCAGATTGTTCAGGCTGTGTCGTGCTGACCAGAGACTTGTATCGGTGGATTGCGTACCCATGTAAGTGCTTAATCTAGCGGAGTAACAACGCTCAGTATTGATGTACGTCATGCCGTTCCCAGTCAGGGAGTACCCTAAGTTTTGTCAAAGGAAACAAACAGCTTTCTGGTTGATAGCAAACATGGATTGGCCCAACAAATCTTCTTTGGATGCGTTAAGTGGAGCTTCCATCTTCCCTCACCCTTGCCAAGGACAAAGGGAGGGGCCACTGGGGCTGGCCTTCTGATCAAGGAGCATTGCCCATTTCGGCGTTTCGTAGTGAGGGTGTCAGGTCAGCGAGGAATGGACTTACAATTCTGAGAACTCCGAACAGGCCGGAAGCGCTGCGTGCACTCCTCAGGAGTCTTCACCTTAGGCGTACACTTGCATGAACTACCAGCACATTGAGGTAGAAGATGTTGGAATCAGCCAATAGGAGGCTAGGATTTCTACACACTACTAAGTTCCAAATAGGTGTTGTGACTACGCCTTATGGTGGTAAATAGCCTTAGCGTGGCTTCACATTATAGATAGGTAGTCACCTCTATCCTTACTATATACTTCTTTATAAAATATAATAATAAATAATTATTCTACATTGATATAAGATTATTAAGTATATACCATTTTCAATAGATTATAAGTCTAAATTTCCGCTACCGTGGTCTCTATACTATTAATTAGAAACATTTACCTATTTTAATAATTTGATATTATAGAAGTTAAACGAACATTTCTATATTCTTATTATATATTTTTCTATTTACTCTTTTATTCTTTCTTCTATAACTATATAAGATAACTATATAGACGTTTAATATATATATAGCTATATTAATTTAAATCTAAAATTTTCTAAAGCTTAAAGAATAGAAAAATTATTAATCTTAATTAAAGAAGATAAAGAGTATCTTAAAGTACTACGGTCTATAGAATATAGTAAAATAAGAATTAATACTATTTCTAGATAATCTATTAGAGAAAGTTATTATTATAAATATACTAACTAATAAAATCTATTATATAAAAACTATCGTATTAAGGCTTATTAATTAGTAGATTTTAACTTATAATATCGAGATAAAGATCTAAAAAAACCTTAATAATTAAGTATTAAAACTTATTTACTCGATATATAAGAATAAATTAATCGAAGTAATAGAAGATAAGAAGATAGTTATAATTAGATAGAGTAAACTTTAAACGAACTATATAAACTTCGAATTTATTCTTCGCTTTATTAAATTATAAAAATTATAAAATATTATTATAATTAATAGTAATAACTCGATTAAGATCTATATTATTAATATATATATAAAATTTAAGAATCTTAAATATATAAGAGCTTTAATTAATAAATAAATTCTTATTACTCTATTATTAAATAATTTAAATAAAAAGTATAAGAACTTCGTATATCGTTTTATTATATAACTTAATAATATATTAAACTTTAATAAAATTATTATACTTCTTTATAAAGAAGATTATCTCTTTAAGCGAGATAATAAAAAATAAGTTATAGTCGTTACTATAAAGAAATATTATAAAAAATAAAAGAATAAGAAGATCTCTAGAGATAATAATAATTTAGAATATAAGGATAATACTTTAGAATAAGAATAAGGTCGAGGTGGAAATAACGATGAAAATAATAACTATAACTTTAATCCCTCGTTAAATAACTCGAATAGTATCTATTATAAGAAATTAGATAACGTATCTAAGTATTTAAAGTATTTTTACTATTAAATAAGAGTAAGAAGAGATATTAACTATATAGCTACTAAACCCTTTATAATAAAAAGATATTTAATTAATTTCGAAATAATAATAATAATAATAATAATAGTAATAATAATTCGAACTTTAAGTTTAAAGCGAATGTGACTAATATAATTAATAGGCCGAACGATTTTATAAATTAAAATTATACTTATATTTTAGTAATAGTTTATACTATAATCGATAATAAGAATACTATAAGAGACGAAGAGTATTAGAGCTATTTAGTTAATAGCTTAATATCTAAATTAGATAAAGAAGTAATAAATAAAGAGCTTAAAATTAAATCTCTCGATTATCTTTTAATCGAAATAGTTAAATCGTAAGAACTATAAGAGAATATAGGGAATTAGTTAATATTTTAGCTTAACGCTAGTCTAAAATTGAGTGATAAGATAAGTTAAGAGACTGAAAATATCCTTAACTCTTTATCTAATTCTCTAGAGAATATCGAAATAATTAACGAATTATTATATGAATTCTTAACTCACTTTCTCTTCTATATAGTATATATGAATAGTTAATCTACTATTATATATGAATGAATAATAAACTTAGACTATATTAATTATATATTCTTCGATAAGAATAAGTTTATCGATTATTAGCTATATTATATAGATATTATAATAGTTAATAAAATTATTATTTAAATATAGAACCGCGATATAGTCGAAATGAAATAACTATTATAAAATAAATCTAGTAACATCGTAAAAGTTAGTGAAGTCTTATATATTTCGAATTTTATATACAAATTATTTTCAATTAGTTAGACTATATAAAAAGAATTAGAAATTATCTTTCTTAGTAATAACTATTATATTCTTTAAGATAGTAAGCTTATTAATAGCGCTTTAAAGATAAATAATATCTATATTCTTAATATCTTATAATTTATAGTTAAGGTTTTAATACTTATTTAGAAGAATATAAGAGTCTTAATAATAAGTTTAATATTTAACGAGAAAGCTATTAAGCTATAATATCGTCGAATAAAATATCTAAACGAGGCGAATCTTAAGAGATTAATTAATATAAGTAAGAGTATTATATTAATTTAGAAATTACGAGTTAGACTAATATATAAGATCTATTTTAAAACTAAATCTATATGAAAAGTTTTAAGAAGAGTATAATATAAGATACTCGAAAAATTCGATAAGATTTATATAGACTTAAAAGAATCTTTTAATATATTATCTATTAATAGAACTAAGTACTATATACTTCTAATCGATTAAGCGACTTTTCGAATTTAATATTTTATATATAAGTATAAGAATAAGACCTTTAAGTTATTTTGTGATTAGAAAATTTAGATAAAAAATGAATTCGATTATAAGATTAAAATAGTTCGTCTAAATAATAATATTAAATTTATTAATAATAAGTTTAAAGAATATTTTAAAAACTTCGAAATTATATAGAAGTCTATCGTACTTTATACGCCTAAGTAAAATAGATTTAGCGAGATATAAAATCGAATTATTATGAATAGAATAAGGGCTATACTTTTTAACTTGAAGTTATTTCGCTATTTATAATTAGAATTACTTTATATTAAAATATATTAAAAGAATAAAAGTCTTATTATCTATTTTTAGAGTATAATATTATATAAGATATAAATAGATAAATAATTATATCTCGGTTATATAAAGATTATTAACTACGTTATTTAAATATATATATTTAAAAAAAAGTATAAGAAGCTCGATAAATATAATAAGAAGTGCTATCTAATTAGCTACGAAGATATAAATATCTTTTAAATATGAAATCTAATTACTCGATAAGTGAAATAATTCTTTTATATCGATTTTAACGAATTATAAATAATAATTATTATAATCTCGAATATCGACTATTAGCTAGTTAAGACTACTAATAATAATATAATAGATATATTTAATATAGAGAATAACTCTATAGTATATTAATATATATCTAAAACCGTCGTCGATATCGATATAGATTCTATTAATATAAATAAAATTAGAAATATTCTTTTTAATAGAAATATCGAAGAAGTCGAAGAAGTTGAAGATATAAAAGATAGTAATATAAGCTTAGAAGAATTTAACGATAATAATATTAAAGAGATATCTCGAGATAGCCTTATTACTTATCTAGATTTATATCTTAATATAATATATAATTCTCGACTAAAACGAAATTCTATATCTTTTTAGAAAGTTCTTTTAAATAATAAATAAAGTAATATTAAGATGTGAATCTAGAGAGCTATTACTTATATTAAGTATAATAAAATTCTTAAATTAAAATATTTATACTATAGGCAAGTTATATTAAGTTATAAAAATTTAAATTATTATAACTTCGATTTCGTTTTCGACCTCGCTACTACTATTTAATAAATAATTAATATAAGATACTAATAAACTACTGCGGAGATTAACGATTTTAAGTTATTAATCTATAACTAAGTAATAACTAGCTTCTATATTAAATAATAAAAAGAGATTATAAATAAGTAAATGAATTTCTTTATTATAATAAATACTTAAAAGCTTATTTCGAGAACGAAGAATATACTAGTTTTTATTAATAGATGGATTTATAAGATAAAGAAGAAATTTAATAACTCTATTCTCTATAAAGTATACTAGATAATTCGAGGTTTTAAATAAATCTATAGCGTTAATTATTAAGTTTATATTATTTAAGATACTATTTATAATTATAATATATTACGATCTAAATTATAAGTAAATAAATATTATTATTATATTTCTTAATATATTATTAAAGAAAATTATCTATATAAAATAGTTTAAAGAATATAAGAAGAAAGGTAATAAGATATATCTACTACTTAGAGTACTATATAATCTAAAGTAATTATTATAAAAATAATACTTTACTTTATAAAACTTTCTTATATCTAAAGAATTTAAATCTATCGAATTTAATTACTTACTCTTTATTAATAAGAAAATATAACTTATTATTAGCGTATATATAAATAAT